ATAATTAACAAATTTATTGATGTAATTGTTGGTTGTTTTCACTCTAAGGGTATTAATTAATTACGTATATGCATATAATTATGTGGAAAAGGGGGTTAAAAGCAAACATGTCTAAGTATTAATTGGATCTGAATCTAATGAGGTGGTTAAAAGTAAATTATTCACATGTATTAATAAGGTAAGAAGAAATAGATTTAATTAAAAGTAAAGATAAAAGGTATTTTTTTTTTCTCTTTCTCCCGTCTTGGGGAAAGGCCGCAAACTTATGGATATTATTATCTCCTTCTAAATACGCCCACTTAGTGTCTAACTTAAAGACACAGTAAAGACTGAACTTCTAAATGGAGATTTACAGTCTTTGTGTTAAAAAAGGTGGATTTCCTCCTATGATTTTAATATTTTGTTCTGTGTGTGTGTACAGGTATGTTTGTGCAGCAATAGGGAAGGGTAATGGTTATCGAGTGGAAGGGGATGTAGAGAAGTCGTTGAAGATAATATGATAAAAATGCTCACACTTAATGTTCAGGGATTGAATACTATAGGGAAAAGAAATTTACTGTATAAATACCTCAGTGAAAAACAATTGAATTTAATATTTTTACAAGAAACTCACTGGAGACAAGTGGATAAACAAAATTGGGGGGTAAAAGATTTCCACTTATAATTCAAGCTTCCAATAAGGAAAAAAAAAATGTGGAGTAGCTGTGGTATTTGGAGAAAGGATTAAAGTTGAAGTAATCCATCAAATACAAGATACTAAAGGCAGATATTTAATAATAATATGCAAAGTTGACTCTATACTTTTTACATTATGCAATATATATCTTCCTAATCATTTACCAGTTGCTCACTTAAAAACAATTTTGGAAAAAGTAGATGAAGTCAAAGTGGGAAAGTTAATACTGGCAGGGGACTTTAATGCTGTATTGGACCCTCAGATAGATAAAAAATTAATGAAAGGAAATACTTTAAATCAGATGGTGATAAAACAAGCAAAAGCTTTGAAAAAAATTAAAGATGAATATAATTTATTTGATATTTGGAGAATTTTTAACCCTAATGAGAGAGACTATACGCATTTTTCCAAAGTGCATTTTTCTTATTCTAGATTGGATATGATTTGGGTTGATCCAAGTATTATTGATATGACCAAAAAAAACAAAGATCGATGAGATAGTTTGGACAGATCACAATGGAGTTTTTTGAGAAATGATTTTTAGTACATTTAAAAGAGAAGCCTTTACTTATATAGGGAATAATATAAAAAACTATTTTAAAGAAAATATCTCAGAAAATATTGATCCACCTATTTTGTGGTGTGCCTTTAAGGCTGTTATAAGAGGCCATATTATCAAGCTACAAAGTCAGCTTGAGAAAAACAATACCCTGGCATATCTATATACAGAATTAAGAAACATGACTTATATTAATAAACAATCTCCATCTCCTGAAATTTATGATAAAATATTAGAACTTAAAGAAAAAATAAAGCAAAAATTAATGGAAACGATAGCCAGAAATATGGATAGATTGAAACTTAAATATTACTCTAAAGGCAATCGAGCTGAAAAGATGCTATCTCAAAAACTTAGAAAACAAAAAGGGCAAAATAAGGTAGATAAAATAATACAGAATGGAAAAATAGCATTAACCCCTAGAGAAATTGGAAAGTGTTTTAACGAATATTATGCCAATTTATATAATATACCTCAAATTAATACAGATGAGGATATTAAAAATTATCTAAATAATATAAAGAAGTTTCAACTAACACATATTGAAAATGATCTTTTGAATAAACCCATAACTCAAGAGGAGATTATGAAAGCAATAAATGATTTAGAAAGAATTAAAACACCAGGCCCGGATGGGTTTAGCAACCTTTTTTACAAAACATTTAAAGATTTAATATGTTCATATTTGACCTCTGCTTTTAACATAGCGGCAAACAGAGAATTTTTTTTTTTTTTTTGTCAATCTCTTTTTTATTGAAACATTTATGAAATGGGGTACAAAATGAGGAAAAGGGAGTGTACGTTTTCCAACACATTTGGGGTCTCATATTACAGTTTAGCTTTTTCGACATGGTACATCCTCAGCTTATGGTAAATGTGCCTATCGCTACAACACAAGCCATGTTTCAAGCAATGGTATAAGAGTTAGTCCGTGTTTGCACCAACTTTAGTTTACATGCATACAGTATAACTGAGTAGGTATGCTATTAAAAAACAAAGCAGGTATGGTAATAATACATCCAGACATGGCATGTTAATCTCACCACATTACAGATTCGGTGAACGTGAGGTTGCGATAGGGTAACAGCTGTCCGTGTACATGCTAAGCTTGGCTGTCGAATTTTGCTGTTAGAAAGTAGTCTGTCTACGCGTGTCTGAGGTCTCATATAGTGGGTTGCAAGTGTGGTGCTTGGTAGTCGGACTCGTTGTGAACTCACTGACGTGGTTAAGCAGCGTATTAAGCATCGTCATGTCCTGTTATGTGCTTATCGAATAATCATATGGGGTCTTGGTTGGTTTAACTCTGGGGGGATTGGAAGGTACTGCTCTAGGAGTAGATCTCAATTGTCGGTGCTATCAGTAGGCCTTATTAGGTGTACTGTCTCCGGTCCGTCTGGGTTCAATAACTGTGGGATTTGAGATCCTAGTCTGGTGACCGGTATGATGTAGATTAAGTACCTAGGTGAATTTCTAGGGTCCATCTTCCGTCAGCCACTTGAGTGGTCTAGGACCCTTTATGCCTCCCATTATGCGCCCGTGGACATCCTATATTCCCATCTCTCCTTGTATTGTCAGGAATTAGATACCAACTAGACTGGCCGATCATAGATGTTTGACTAAGGGTCGGGGCATATCTGAGGGGGGGAGAGGGGGAGGGAAGGGGTAAAGAGGACACATTCGCCACCGGGAACGCGGCCTCCCCACAAAACGATCCGACATCCAGCCGCACGCCTCCTCGGGGCCAGGAAATAATCCCTCACGGTCCCGTCACCCGGTGCGGCCTATGTTCCGGGTCTGCATCGGTCACTGGTGCAGGCTGCAGGGTCGGTCCACCCGATATGTGTAGTATCCACGGAGTCCATACCTGCATGTATTTTTCTGTAGTGCCACGTAATGCGGCGGTTAGTTGTTCCATTCCGTGAAACAGAGAATTTTTACCAGCAGAAATGCTTAAAGCTAATATCTTGCCTATTTTGAAAAATGATAAAAACCCCACTGACATCAAAAATTATCGTCCGATATCTTTAATAGATGCAGACACTAAGTTATATGCTTCGGTTTTGGCAGCTAGAATAAAAAAGCTTCTTCCATTAATTATCCACAAAGATCAAATAGGATATGTACCAGGTAGAAACTCCTATACAAGTATAAGAAAAATTATTAATATCTTGGACGACGCAAATAGAAATGATGTTCCAGTTCTGACTCTGTCGATTGATGCTGAAAAAGCATTCGACAGAGTCAGCTGGAAATACTTAGAAGCCGTTTTATTACACTATAGATTGGAAGGTTGGATTAAGAAAGCCATTATGGCGTTATACGTAAATCCAGTTGCACGGACTATCGGACCTAATATTGTCGCCCCATGGTTCCAACTTAAAAATGGCACTCGGCAGGGTTGTCCCCTTTCACCATTACTCTACTTGCTGTCTATTGAGCCATTGGCTGAGAATATTAGAAATAATAAAGAGATTTACGGTTATAAAATAATGGATGACGATCAAAAAAATCAGTTTATATGCGGATGACATTTTAATTACTCTCACAAACCCTAAAAATTCTTTAGAGTATATAATGCAAGAAATAGAGCGATACAGTCATATCAAATTATAAATTAAATACAAATAAATCTGATATTAGATGTTAACCTTGATAAAAAGATGCAACAAGAGATTAAAAATAAATATGATTTTATCTGGGTTAAAGAAAGTATGGATTACTTAGGAATAAAAATAACTAGAGAGATAAATAAGATTATGGAAGTAAATTTCCTAACATTATTATTAGACCTTAATAATGGTTAAAAGATCGTAGAAACCTAGAGATTACTTTTTGGGGACGAATAAATGTTATCAACTCATATGTTATACCAAAGTGGAACTATATGTTTCAAATGTTACCTCTCCATATCCCAACCCATTGGCTTCAATTAATACAAAGAAGTTTTACTCAATACATTTGGAAAGGCAAGAAGCCAAGATTGAAGCAGTCAATATTAGTGCAGAAAATACATAAAGGTGGACTTGACTATCCATTTATAATGAATAATTTCAAAGCAGCTACTATTCTACACGTTTATAGAATGCAAATTAAAGAAAATAAGGATGAGGGATGGTATAAAATGGAATTGAAGGCAGGAGAAGTCTCTAGCTTGGACTGTTTAATTTGGAACATAAATAAAACGTTAAAGAGAAAAGAGTATGCTAGTATCATTTTAACTCAATTATTAGAAAACTGGTTAAAAATTAAAAAAGCAATGAATATAGAAAAAAAAGTTCCAAGTTACTTAGAGTTAGACACTATAGAAAAACAAGTGGAAGATTTAAATTTAAACAATTGGAAAAAAGAAGGGATAAAGACTCTGGACCAATTATTGATAGAAGGATCAATCAAAACCTTTGCTCAAATATCAGGGGAATATAATCTTCCTTCTAGAGAGGTGTTTAATTTTTTAAGACTTAAAAGCTATATGAATATACACCTTATAATACTGTAACGGACCGTTTTGCACACAAGGGGTAAAAACCGTTTAGGCGATCGGCCCCCTTTCCAGAGATCCAGGCACAGCTACTGCAGAACACCAAAACTCATGAACTGGATACAAAATAGCACTCCAACTCCCGAACTGGAACCTCCCAAATAGCGGCTAGCAGACGAACAGGAAAAGCAGACGAACAGCTTACACTCCTGGCAATCAGTCTCTAACAGCATACAGTAAATCCCCCCAAGAACGAGACAAGGCTCCGTGTTGAGGGTCAAGCAGTGGTCTGAGGTGCTGGCACACCCAGCCTGGTTTTTATTACAGTCTTGCAAATACAGGACCGCCCACAGGGAGGTATAAAACAACCAATCACATCACAGTTACATCCCACATATTCCCTCCCCTTATCCTGAGAGGAAACTCAATTACACATACAGTTAAAACATACTTTCTACCCAACTTTCATAACTCTAAAACCATACATCACATTCACCTAAAATTACATATTCACAATCAATCCATTCAGGGGAACAGCATATTAAAAAATGACATGAATCAGACCAGGGGTTCAAAAGTTAGTAAAAAGTCCTTTGTGACTAAATGAAGCATGGCTTTCTGGCCCAAACCAGTTTCAGAGTCTTCTATCCTGGAGATAAGTAATTGAATTATCTCCCAGGACAGACACAAGACTCCATTAAGCACATGGTTGCAAAAAGACACAAAACACTTTAAAATACATAGTCACATTTTACACATAACACACAGACATTTCACATATCCCCAGATAGCTCAGGTCTGAGCGCACATTATTAAGTGAATGGCGCTCGGACCACACAAATACAGTTTAATCGCCATGGAGCCAAAGTCTTTACAGTCAGTTTCATACGAATGGGCTCCATGGGATTCCTATCTGGGGTATAACACATTCAAACAAATCTACCGAACCCCAGGCAGAAAAGCACAAATACAGCTTTTCTGCAGGCAAAAAATAAAGTCTTTTAAAAGGGGGCCATAGTCCAAAGGCAGCAGGCGAGCAACCAGGCTTCTCCAATGCAATGTGGCGAGATTGGTCTCGTCACAAATACCAAAATCTAATTTGAGCAATTTGATAGATTTACTATTCACGTCAAAAAAAATTAATAAGCCACTTTCCAAAGCTTTGATATTAACTAAATCAATGGTTAAAGATATAAACCCTACTGCCATACAGGTTTGGAAACAAGAACTGGACATTGATATTAATTTGAATCAATGGGGTTTTTCAATGATGGATGTTAATAAGAATATACATTCATTAAATTTATTAGAAACTCACTTTAAAGTTCTAAATAGGTGGTACTTAGTACCGGGTAAACTGAATAAAATTTATCCTTTAACTAATCCTATCTGTTGGAGATGTAATAGTATTAGAGGCAATTTTAGACATATTTGGTGGGATTGCCATAAACTAAAGAATCTTTGGTTGAAAATACAGCATTTTATATCCAATAATTTAAAACTCGAGTTGACAATTTCTCCAGAGGTAGTTCTGTTGCATCTAAATTGGCCTCATTTGACATATGAGTTAAAAGCAATTCTTATACATCTTTTTTTAGCTGCTAAAATAGTAATTGCGAGATGGTGGAAAAAGGATTTAGAAGTCCCCTGGAAGAAAGTTAAAATTCAACTCGAGTTTCAGATTAGAATGGAGTTGATGCTAAGTAAACAAAGACTAAGTAATAAGGTTTCTGTTTGGTCAAAATGTATTGAGATGATTGGTGTAGAAAATAATGTTGATCAATTAGTAGTAGAGTAATCCCATGAACATTGTAAATAATTATGAGACTTATCTAGATGATTTTACCACTCAACTATGGAAACTTTTTTTCTGATGTATTTTTCTCTCCCCTCCCCTATTTTGCTGCTATGTTGTTTGTGTATTGTAAATTTGTATGATATATGTATTTGTATAATATATGTATTTAATAAGGATAAAAAAATATAAAATAAAGATTAAATATTCAAAAAAATACATCCAACACCAACTCATGCTTTTGGCATGACACCTCCCCCTTAAGATGGTGGACAGAAAAATTCAGCCACAGGCTCAATGTATCATACTATGGATGCGAATTAGTGTTAGGGACGTGATGACGTGAGACGCCGCGCGTGCTACAGGTGGGCGTGTCCAGAAGGAGGTTGAGGAGAGAGGGCGCGGAGGCGAGAGCTAGTAATGCCGCTCCGTGCCGTTCCGTGAATATGGTCTGGCTCGGTGGGGATTGAAGTGGATGAAGGACTCAGTGATGATTCAGTGGGTCGGTGGATCTGGTTTGAAGTGGTGCGGTGTGTGCCGGTCGGTGTTTTTGCTGGGGGTCTGTTGCCTTCATTTGGACAGATAGCGGCGGTTCCCTCATGGACTATTAAAAAGGTCAAGGAAGAAATAAAAACAGTTCCCTTATAAATTATTAAAGAAAAAACGAAGAAAAGAAAGAAAGAACAACAAAGAAAGAAAGAATGAATAAGAGAGAAATAAAGGGAAAAGGAGAAAAAAAAAAAGAATACATCCCTCAGCAATTTTCCAAATAGCTTTATATAAAAACTGTGAGTACTTCTGTATATACTACAACATTACTGTAAGGCATCACACCTGTATATAATTACTGGTTTGGAAAAAGAAAAGTGGAAAGAAATTTTTTTTTTTTTGGAGGAGACCGGCATATTTGACTGATTTAATTGAATTAATTATTTGATTATTTGATCAATTGATCTAATTCTTCAAGTCTAAAGTTAAAACTTTATATGAGATATCTAGCTATAATCTGCTATTGAGAAGCATTTAAGAAACAAAACGTCAACTAGGAAAACAGAAAAAAAGAAAGAAATTAAGTCAGTTCAACAAACAGAAAAGAGGTTGTCAGGTTTTTTTACTACCCCCATTAAAGATCTGCAGGAACAGATAATTGATGATAATTGTAAGACACACCCAAGTAATACTTCCAATATTAATCAAGAAGTTCCACTTAACCAATTTCCATCAGAAGCTCAAGCAATTGCTTCAATCAGTATCCAA